GGAAGGGAAAGGAAGGGAAAGGAAGGGAAAGGAAGGGAAAGGAAGGGAAAGGAAGGGGGAAGGGGGAAGCAAGGGGGAAGGGGGAGGCAAGGCAAAGGCATAGAAACAGGAAGGAATTAAAAATTAAAAGTAAATCACTCAGACAAAAAGAATGTATCTCGCTAATGGAATGAAAACACAAATTAAGTCATTAGCTATAGAAACTGCTATATATATATATATATTTTTTTTTTTAGAAACTGCTATATTTTATTTTATTTTTTTAGAAACTGCTGTATTTTAATGACTATAATTTGTAAAGTAATATGACCACACATACCTTTTTCAGGGTGTAGTCTTTTAAAAGAATCTGTTTTTGACAGGCTTGGGTCTGTGATAACTCTTGATCCCAATTTAACAATCAGATCTATTGAACGGTAACCCTGAGGAAGTTTTCGGTCATAGAGGAGAGTTAAAAGCTGGGCAAGTGTCATTTCTGCTGGCAATGGCTGGCCTAAAAATGAAATGACTTAAGTTAATCCAAGACAGAGAAGCATTTACTTGTCTTGATTTACTCCATTACATACTAGTTTTACTGTAACACAGGAACAAGTTTGATTCAGGCACGAATTTCAATACAATTTCAAACTAGTTATTGGAAAGTCTTATTTCTGATATGTGAAGAGTATCTACACAAAGTATTAAAGTAAGATATCATAGGAAGACAGAAACAAAGGAACAAGTGAAGATGCAATAAATCTAGGGTTGGCAAATATTTCCATAAAGGACTATGTAACAGATCCTTTAATATGCACAGGCCTTATGGCCTATTATAACTACCACCTCTATGCCAAAGTATACAAATAGATAACACATTAATGTGTGGGGATAGTTGTATTCAAATATAAACCCTATATTCAGCTGGGCACTGGTGGCTCATGTCTGTAATCCTAGCTACTCAGGAGCCTGAGATATGAGGATGGCGGTTCAAAGCCAGTCTGGGCAGGAGAGTCCAGACTCTTATCTCCAATTAACCACCAGAAAACCAGAAGTTGTACTGTGGCTTAAATGATAGAGCACTAGCCTTGAGCTGAAGAACTCAGGGACAGTGCCCAGGCCCAAAGTTCAAGAACCAGATTGAACAAAAAATAAACAAATAAACAAAAAAAACCCAATATACAAAAGAGAGGTATCCCACCCAGCAGAAACAACTTGTTTGACCTCTGCTATAAATGGGTAATGTAAAACTAAGAAAGAAAATCCATTCAGTTACTTAGCAGTTTGACTAGGGAACAGCAGGATATCATTTTGTCAATATAATTTGGTAAACAGGATATCATTTTGTCAATATAATTTGCCTTTGGTTGGAAAATCATATCATTTATTATTATATTGGGATTCTGCTTATCACAGAATCGATGCTAAAATTACACCTACAAAAATAGCCTCATATTCCTTTCTTTTCTGTCTAACCATTTTCTTAGTGTTTAACCATTTTCTCAGGGTTATCACATTAACATCAAATGCCAGCAAATATGTAACTTGACAAGAATTAAAAATTCATTTTTCCCTTACTGGTTTTGAAAAGAACTATATGAAGAAAGTCTCACTCATTTGCCTCATAAAAAGCACCTGGTCAAAGACGGGTCTGGTGACTACACATATAATGAATATACCTGCATGATTAAAAGTTCTTTGATGTTTACTAATGGTGAATATTACCTGACAAGAGTTTGTGAAACAGATGAAACTCTGGGACAGTAATTATTTTGTTGGCAGTCTCTGCACCTGAAGAAGTACTTCCTATTTTATCAGGAATGGCCCTCCCTCTCCTGGATGGTGGGCGACATGGTGTAGCTGAGACAGCACGTTTAGACTGGGATTTCAGTCCTGAAACAAAATAAGAAAAACGATGGGTACCCAAGACCCTAATATCAAGTGAGTTTCCATATTATTTTACTAAAGCACACATTCCTAACTAACACTACATTAAACAAATATTCTTTAATCTAGTATCTAACCTCCCAATTCTGTTAGTCCTTATAATATACTATATATAATTTTAGCTATGCACGTAAAATTTATCCCAAATAGTAAAATTATTGCTAGTTGTTATAATGTATGAGATACAGATGATTGCCTATGTAGAATACTCCTCTATATAAATTTGTATAAGCAATTTTGTACTGATTTTTCTGTAAGATAAAGTATACAGAAGTCTTCCTAATTAAGAAGTTATTTATTTATTTATTTAGGTAGTACTGAAGCTTTGACTAAGGCAAGCACTCTACCACTTAAACCAAAATAGTCCTCATCAATATTTCTAATCTTACTCTTTTTTCAAATAGGGTCTCATACTTATTCCTGAGCCAGCCTTGGACTATAGTCCTCTACCTTTGTTTCCTTAGTAGTTGCATCACCACAAGCCATGATTTTATTTTTGAAAGTGGGTCTTACACAGAAAGGGAGGGGAGAGGGATGAACAAATGCAATCATGCAATTCTGTATATACTACTATGTAACTTGGGGGCGGGGACAGGAAGAGGAAATTGAGTGATTGGGTGACTCTGTTCAAAAAAAAAAATGTATTCATTACCTGAATTATGAAATGGTAAACCTTCTAGACAATATCTTAATAACAAATAAAATTATATATTTATATTGGTTGGGTGTGGGGCTTGAACTCTGGGCCTGGGTGCTGTTCCTCAGCTCTTCAGCTCAAGATGAGTACTCTACCACTTGAGCCACAGTGCCACTTCCAGTTTTCTGGTGGTTAATTGGAAAACAGTCTCATGGACTTTCCTGCCCAGGCTGGCTTTGAAGTGTGATTCTCAGATTCCTGAGTAGCTAGAATTACAGGTGAGCTACCAGAATAAAAATCTATTTTTAAAAGAAATATCCTTTTCTGGGTCTGGAAGAGGGAAAGGATGACACTGTACAAAAGGAAATGTACTCATCACCTGCCTTATGTAACTGTAATCCCTTTGTACATCACCTTTATAATACCAAATTATTTTATTTTTATTTATTTATTTTTGGGTCCGGTCGTGGGGCCTGAACTCTGGGCCTGGGTGCTGTCCCTCAGCTCTTCAGCTCAAGGCTACCACTATACCACTTGAGCCACAGCGCCACTTCCGGCTTCTTTCTTTTTTGCTTATGTGATGCTGAGGAATTGAACCCAGGGCCTCAGGAATGCAAGGCAAGCGCTCTACCACTGAGCCACCTTCCCAGCCCCAATACCAAATAATTTTAAAAGTTAAAAAAAATAAAAGAGGGCCTTATTTTACTTTTTTGCCTTGGGTGTCTTCAAATGCCAATGCTCTTGTTACCACTGGAATTATATGAGTGCACCCTCATTGTCTGGGTCTTTTTTTTTTTTTTGGTCAGTTGTGGGGCTTAAACTCTGGGCTTGGGCACGGTGCTGTCCTTGCGCTCTTCAGCTGAAGGTGAGTGCTCTACTGCTTGAGCCACAGCGGTACTTCTGGTTTTCTGGTGGTTTATTGGAGAAGGACTTTCCTGCCTGGGCTGGCCCTGAACTACGATCCTCAGATCTCAGCCTCCTGAATAGCTAGGATTACAGGCAGCCCAGCTGGCTCTCTGATTTTTATGTTGAACATTATATTTGAACTAAAATAATCTTACTCTATAAAAGAATACTCCAAAGTTATGTTATACTTGCTATTTTTTTACTTCTTGAAGTTAATATTAAAAACTTATTGTTCAGCTATTTTTATGTGTGTCAGGACCTGTGTGCTGTCCTTTAGCTTTTCTGCAAGGTACTCTAGCCCAATGATCCATAACTCTACTTCCAGATTTTTGCTGGTTAATTGGAGCTAAGAGTCTCACAGACTTTCCTGTTCTGGCTGGCTGTGAAACTGCAATCCCCAGAACTCATCCTTTGAGTAGCTAGAATTACAAGGCATACACCACTATCTCCAGGCTAGTTCAGTTAGCTGTATGTTATGAACATACTGTAAATGGAAACGTTTTTGGGGGTCATAGGGCTTGAACTCTGGGCCTGGCCACTGTTCCTCAGCTCTTCAGCTCAAGTCTAGCACTCTACCACTTGAGCCAAAGTGCCACTTCCAGTTTTCTGAGTGTTTATTGGAACTAAGAGTCTCACAGCCTTTCCTATCCCGGCTGGCTTTGAAACGGGATCCTCAGATCTCAGCTTCCAGAGTAGCTAGGATTACAGGCATGAGCCACTGCAGCCCAGCTTGTAAATGAAAACTTTTAAGAATTCTTTTTCACCATGATTTTTGCATCCTTTTGAACAAAGATGTTATATAAAAACTCCTAAATACTTAGGGTACATGTACAGGTATCACTAACCCTTACTTAGGAGTAAGCGTTATCAAGTTTAAATATAAAGTACAAGTTATTCATACATGCTTAGTATCTGATGAAATTGAATAAACTTTGGGTATAAAATAATGACAGACTTGGGCAGGGAAGGTGGCTCAGTGGTAGAGCGCTTGCCTTGCATGCCTGAGGCCCTGGGTTCCATTGCTCAGCACCACATAAACAAAAAAGAAAAAAGCTGAAAGTGGCGCTATGGCTCAAGTCTAACCTTGAGCTGAAGAGCTGAGGGACAGTGCCCAAGCTCAGAGTTCAGACCCCATGATTGGACCCCCTAAAATAATGACAGACTTTAGGTGCAACATATTAAAGTCTATTATTAAAACATTGTAAGTTAATTGTTTGCTTTAATGCATTGGAGTTTAATACATGGAGTTCCAATAAATATACACTGTTGAATTTTAGAAATCCTAATAAAATAAGAAGGAAAAAATAGCATACCTGAGGCAACAACAACACTGTAATTATCCTGAAATCCATTTTCTGCCTTAACTTTTTCTTTCTCTTCATGGTTTTTCTTTTCTTTGTCATCTTTTTGTTCACTAATTAGTTTAGCTGTGATACTTGGAGTATCTGTAAGAAAATAACTGTGAAAATTACACTACTTTTCTAAATCAATTAAAAAGAAAACAAAGTATTCAGAAAGGTTCTATAGATATCATCCGAACCAGAGTTCATATGAAGCAATTTAGAAGAAATGCTTTAAGTTAAAACCTGATGTTTATGAACAATTTACTAATAACCATAGAAAATACAGTAACCACTTAACAATCACTAGAAAGTACCATACCAGAACTACTAAGACCTTTAGAAGAAGTTTGAAGTATTAGAATGAGTTCAACATGTGTGCACCTATATCTAATTCATCATTACAACACCATGAATATGAAGAAACAATATGTGTTTCCAAAGGGGGAAACAGCTTGAGTCAAACTCCTGATAAATGGTGAATGTCATTCATGGAGTTCAAGCTCTAAGCCTCACAGTTGAGATTTCTATTCATGCTGCAAATATGAGTGTTTAGGAACTAACTGCTACTAATAGCGATTTTTACTTTGTTAATTTTATTAAAAATAAAAGGATAGATAAAAAAATAACATTTTCTTGCTCTATTTGAAATGGACATTAAAGGTTTTCACCATCTAATATTTTTTTTCATTACACAAGTATACAGCAAATTAGTAATTTTTTTCCTGGGGCTTGAACTCAGGGCCTGAGCTTCTTTTGCTCAAGGCTAGCACTTTACTACTTGAGCCATAGTGCCAGTTCCAGCTTTTTTAGTTTATGTGGTACCGAGGAATCAAACCCAGGGTTTCATGCATGCTAGGCAAGCACTCTACCACTAAGCCATACTCCCAGCCCAGTAAAAAGGGAAAAAAAAAAAAAAAAGTATGCCAGTGTCCATAGATCACATCTGTAATCCAAGCAATTCAAGAGGCTGAGATGTGAGGATGGAGGATCAAGCATCTACTTAGAAAAGTATAAGGCCCTGAATTCAAAACTCACTATCTCAAAAAAGGGAAAAAAAAAAAAAAAAAGCGGGGGTGGGGAGGGTGAGATGTGGGGACGGATGGGAACCGGGCACTGGTGGCTCACGCCTGTAATCCTAGCTACTTAGGAGGCTGAGATCTAAGGATCGAGGTTCAAAGCCAGGCAGGGGCAGGAAAGTCCATGAGACTTTTATCTCCAATACACCACTCAAAAACCAGAAGTGGTGCTGTGACTCAAGCAGTAGAGTGCTCGCCTTGAGCTGAAGAGCTGAGGGACAGCGCTCAGGCCCCAGAGTTCAGGCCCCACGACCCACAAAAAAAAAAAAAAAAAAAGCGGAAATGGAACTGTGGCTAAAGTGGAAGAGCTTTAACCTTAAGCAAAAAACTTCATAACCCAGGCTCTAAGTTCAAGCCATGGGCCAGGCCAAAAAAAATATATATATATATATAAATAAGAAGGTAGTTAGATGTTAGAATTTAGCTATTCAGGAATCTAAAAGTTGAATTGTTTTGAATTCTTTTTTTTTAATTAATTTATTTTATTTTTTATTTTTTGGTCCGGTCGTGGGGCCTGAACTCTGGGCTTGGGCGCTGTCCCTCAGCTCTTCAGCTCAAGGCTAGTGCTCTACCACTTGAGCCACAGCACCACTTCCAGTTTTTTCTTTTTGCTTATGGGGTGCTGAGGAATAGAACCCAGAGCCTCATGCATGCAAGGCAAGCGCTCTACCACTGAGCCACCTTCCCAGCCCCTGCTTTGAATTCTTAATTAGGAATTCAGAATTGTTTTTACTACATAGCTATGATAGATTCTCTTTTTATTTTTCTAACACAGTTACGTCCCAAAAGATTTGTAGTGTTAAAAAGATTGAAACAGAGCTCAGTGGTAGACTGGTTGCTTCACATGCATGAGGCCCTCGGTTCAATTCCTCAGCACGACATAAGCAGGAGGGAAAAAAAAGCCAGAAGTGACGCTATGGCTCAAGTGGCAGTGCACTAGCCTTGAGCTGAAGAGCTAAGGGACAGTGCCCAGGCCCAGAGTTCAGGCCCCAGGACCGAACATCCCCCCCCCCCCGCAAAAAAAAGATTGAAACAATCCAAGAATAAGACAGTATGTTTTGGAACAATTCCTATTTATAGTTTTGAGTACCTGAGAATATGCCAGTGAACTTTTTTTAGTTTTATTTTCAATTCTTGGCAATATGCTTGCTAAGGAAGTATGAAAAGGAGAGGGAGAAAGGGAAGAAGAGGTAAGGAAGGAAGGCAAAGAAGATAGGGAGAGAAAGAAGAATGGAAAGGAAGAAGAACAAGAGGAAATGCAAAATTATTGTCAAGTAGCAAAAATACTGATACAAATCACTGAAATATTTAATTTTTAATTAAAATCTAATTCATAAAATTTATATACACCAAAAAATGCAATAAAAATATATTTTCTCAACTTCCTGTTTGAAGCTACTAATTCAGAATCCCACTGCTGCCCAAGGTGAAGTAAGTACTCAAACTTAATTCTTTCTCTTGAAATGACCAATAATTAAGAAAATATATGCAGTAAGTATTTAGATGCTGATAAATAGGCAAAGCAACTTGAGATGGGAGCTAAAATTGCTTACTTTTTGTTTATGACTTTCCCAGACCAAGCCAATACAACCTAGGTATCACCCAACCCAAGGGTTGATGATTCACAACACTGCAGGAAGGCAAAAATAGTTATAGTTCTTAGGGCATATTGTTAGGGAGGGGTAACTTGCATACAGCTGTAGTGAGCTATAAAGAGCCTTATTAAAGACTTCAGTAAATATTGGAATACATTCCAAAAATTGATCTAATGCCATAAAAAGTGCTACTCAAAGGAGTAAAGAAATCAGTCCTAAATGGCGAATGAATACTGTATATTCCCAATGTCAGTGAAGTCCTATGCAAGTAATCAAAAGGGTACAGCCCCAGTAGTACAGTCAAACAAACTTTAAGATCAACACTTTCAAATCTGTTACCCTATTTTTCTATTTCACCCACTACCTTAATTCATTAAAATGAAAATTCCATGTATATTAAATCAGTTTAAAAAAATTCATCATCACATTTTGTCATAGATGAAAACCTGTAATCCTAGCTAATTGGGAGGCTGAGATCTAAGGATCATGGTTCAAATCCAGCCCAGCGTAAAAGTCCACATATTTCCAATTAACCAGCAAAACGTTGTAAGTGGAAGTGTAGCTAAAGTGACAGAGTTCTAGCTAGAACAGATGAATCAAGTAAGAGCATGAGGCCTAAAATTCAAGCCCCAGTACCTGTATAAAACAAACAAAAAATAATAAAATTTACTTCAATGAGATGTTGTGAGGATGTAACAATATAATGCTTATAAAATACTTGTAACACACATAAATGTGTCCAACACCAGAATGATTACTGCTAAATAATTATGTATGATGTAATTTATTAATTGAGCCAATATTTATAATGAAACCATAAAGAATGAAAATAAGTTCTTTACAGGAAAATGGGCATAACTGATCATTATCTTAATCAAGATAATCTAAGACAAATAGCATATACTTTTTGTTTTTGTCCAGTCGTGGG